TAATCTATCCTTTGCTCAAGGTATTTTTCCCGCTCAATTAAAAATGTCTATAGTTCATCCAATCCACAAGAAAGGTTCAACGCATGATGGTAACAACTATAGACCTATATCTGTCAGTCCGGTGCTGTCAAAAGTCTTCGAGTATGCTATGCTCGATAGATTAACCGGTCATTTACATAAAAATGATATCATAACAAACCGACAACACGGATTTCGTACCGGATATTCTACTATGTCCGCCATAAACTCATTTCTCAGCGACGTAATTTCTCACCTTGAAAATAAGCGACATGTAATAGGAATGTTTTGTGACCTAACAAAGGCTTTTGACTGTGTCAACCATAAAGTCTTGATAGAAAAATTAGAGTTTTATGGAATCCGGGGTGTAGTCTCGCAATGGTTCCTATCCTACTTATCGGGAAGATCTCAGTATGTAGAAATAAAGTGCAATTCCAATTCCAAGATCACAAAGTTCTCATCGTGCCTTTTGCCGATGAACATTGGCGTACCACAGGGCTCGATTTTAGGGCCAATCCTGTTTCTTTTATTTATCAATGATATTGTTTTCATTTTGAACTCTGTAATCATGTATGCGGATGACACTACTGCAATAGTTTCCGGTAAAACTATTCTTGACCTACAACAACGGGCAAGTGGAATTCTATCGACGCTTCAAGGGTGGTTTAATTTTAACAAACTTCATTTAAACAATAGCAAAACGTACTGCATTTTATTTTCTTCTATTTCTCCCACCACCGATGTATCCCTTCTTGCTAATGTTCCAGTGCAACAATCAGGGAAATACCTGGGAATGTGCTTGGATACAAAATTAAACTGGAAGTGCCACTGCTTATGCTTGATAAAAAAGCTTAATGTTTGTTGCTTTCAAATCCGTAGTATCAGACAGTTGATTGGTGTATATTTCACATTGTCCTTCTATTATGCGGAGGTTCAGTCAAGGTTATGTTACGGTGTTCTTTTCTGGGGATCATCTACACTGGCCGCTAAAGTTTTTATTGTACAAAAACGTATAATACGATGTTTATTGGGCATAAAGCAGCGGGAGTCTTGCCGACCATATTTCATCAAATATAACATCCTCACCCTTCCATCGCTATATATATTGGAAGTATTAACTCATATCTACAAAAATAAACACCAACTTAGGCGCAACAATGAATTTCACTCGTATAACACCCGAAATAAAGGAGACCTTAGTATACCTATGGCAAGGTTAAAAATCTCAAAACAATCTCCAAACTCTGTAGGAATCAAACTATTCAACCACCTCCCAACCTCAATTAAAAACCTGCATACGCTCAAAGATTTTAAAAGATCAATAAAAAATATTCTAAGCGAAAATGCTTTTTACACTGTCGACGAGTTTTTAGAAGTAAGTAAGTGCTCAAGGTTTTAAGTTATGTTATGTTATCTTTATGTTAAATTATGTCAATGTTTTCTTTGCTTTTTCTTTCTTTTTTCTTCATTTTGTGACATGTCCTAATACAATATTATATTGTCAACAGGAAACAATAAAAGTTATGAAGTATGAAGTGTTAAAATGCTCATGCGCATGTGCGGTGTTCTACTAACGGTGCAAAATATATGTGTCTGCTATGTTGGCACAGACGCTCCTTATTGATAGTAAATGGGAGGATGTATCTATGCACATTCGCGATTCATATTAACACTAGAGGTGTCGATGTAATTTACAAATGGCGAATGTAGGTGGGAGCGATTTGTAAACAGCGGGTTTTTAAGTGAAGTTGTACTAATTTTAAAGTGAATCGAAGTTTTTGAGACCTAAAATTTAACCCATTAATCCTATCCTACATGAAAGGTTATCTTGAATTAGTTTAAACACACAATTAACTTAATTTTCTAATTACAAATAAAGACGTCGATTATGCTTTAAAACAGCCTTACTATTTGTGGCATAATTACACTGACCACAAATTAAACAAGAGGTATTTTTCGATGTACACGCACTACAATATTGATTACTTTTGGCCATTGTAAATAAACATCATATGGAATCGCACATTGTAAAACAAATTGATTACCGCTTATTGGCGCTTTCAACGCGTAGCTATGTAATATGTCATTATTTACTTTGCAAAGTCTAAGTGGCCTCTAGGTATAGCTAATAAAATAGGTCGATACCTACTATTCACTTTTATCCCATATAAATGCACTAGCTATACGTTTCATAAACACTTCCAATTATTCATTTATCATACACGTGTAATCGATTGTTCTATACAACAAACAGTATAAAATAAATAATCCTGTCTACTAAATAAAAATGAAAAAAAAACTAAAAAGTAAACACATATGAGCGACAACATTAATATGAAATCGATAATAAAATAAAAGGGAATATAAAACACTAAATGAACTTTTCCTACAATGTAAACTTAAACTACTTAAAATCAGAGTATATACCTATAACTGGATAAATAGGTAGATTTTCAAATACCATAAAAAGCTTATTCGTTTTTAAATTGTTAAGTATACCGCTCCAAAAAACATGCACGTTTCTAACATGTTCGAAGTTTATACTGTTCGTATAATCCTTAAATATCAATTAGAAAGCCTCCTACTAACAAGGATTCCTCTTTGGCGATGTCCATTAATAAAAACAGCACAACGATAGTTTAAAGGCACTCCGCTACGCGTCATGCTTTTAAACGTTATAAGTGCTTTAAAGATCAATTATACGCGCGTTTTTATAGTATTTATATTATAATTTAAAAATAATGGAAACTAGATTCAACTGTTATGTGGAGTGACTTAAAGCAGCATGATGAATCACAGCAGTTACCAACGTAAAAGCACGATACGCGCCCGCATACGATTCGGAGACTCCCACTCCGATGAGATACGACGGATGTAGGGTGAGCTAAACGGAAAGTGGAATTCTATATGCCATATCTGCTTTATGTCAAATAAAATAAAATCATATTGGCGTTATACATGAGTACATGTCTAATTAAGTGGGTTGTTTATTCGTAATTCCATGATTGCCATGGAAATGCTACTTATAGTTTGCTTATAAAAATCGTCTTTGAAATAAAATGACTTGGATTGAACAAGGTAACACACAGTCCATTCGGTGGCTTGTTTCAGATGCATACGGAAAGTTGGGACCTGCAAAATTCAAATGCAAAGACGGATTATTAAAAATTTCACGGGTTGATAGCGTATATGAATAGGAATCATCTTTCAAACAAGGTCTTAAATGCATCAATAATGCTGGCTGGCCGGCTGAAGCTTACATAAGATATGCTTCATTTTTAGAGATAGTTCCGTCATGTTGCTCGACTTTAAAGCACGTTTGTGTCATATGCGTAAGATATAACTAAGATATTAATTTGATGTACGCCTGCAAGAAGACATTACACAAGATCGTGATGACTGCAATTGATTTTATCCGACTGTGTGGCTCAGTGGTAGAGCGTTGGGCTACATATCCGGGAGGTCGGGTGTTCGAACCTGGGTTGAGGTGAATTTTTCATCTGTGGCAGAGATGAGAATTATCTTAGATCAATTTCGAGCATTCCGCCGGCTACTCCGAATTAGGTTTTCCGACAGTTTTCCTAATTCGTAAGGTAATTACCGGAGTAGTATAGAACAACTTAAGACCTTCAGCAGGGGCACCTCTAAACAGCATTATGCGGGTCACTTTGTAATTGGGCGAAAGCCTGTTGAGGACGCAAAACAAGAGACGGACAATCACTAAATAAATAAAAAATAAATAAATCAATGATTGGGATGCTAATTAATACGTTTAGGTATTGAATTTAATAATAAGTAATAAGGAACGAAAGCGCTTACTGATTTCTTACCCACGGAAATGTACTTACTCATGTTATATTTAATATTTTAATTCTTTAGAATCAATTAAAAAATATTGGTTCAGATATATTTAAAGAAATTTCTGTAACTGTTTTAAAATATCGCATATTTTTTTCTCATTTTTCTTTTTCAAAAAATTTGTATTTATAAAATGCTTTTAAATTATCATTAAATTATTATTATTTTATCTAAATCAAAATTTTAATGTGTAGTGTACGTCCATAGTTCGCATATGTTTTTAAGATATTTATATTTATTTATAATTTGTAGTTTATATCCTGTATTTTGGTACTTCTGACAATAAAATGATTGATTGATAAAAGACTCTCCTTACATATCTAAGATAGGTAAATGTAGGTATGTATATTTCATGAACGATGAATGAATGCCCTTTAATTTATAGTATTACAGAAAAATCTAAGATATTGATGGGATTAGGAAGAACATAATTTACTTACTCAAGGTGTAAAAGCCTTAATCCAGTGTTCGTTTAGAAATCTTTTGATTATAAGTAATAATATAATAGGTACAGTTAAATAATAAAAAAATAGTAATAGTCGATCCTGAAGCTTAAAAAAATTACCTAGCAAAGGTAAGTTACTTACGTATAGATTTATTTCCTATTCCTAAACTTTTCCGGTAAAGCTTTTTTCAAAAAATTGAGATCATGCAAATATTGTGAGACAATGACAAGCTAGGTATAATATCTAAGTGATATTTGTACCTACCTACAAGTAATCTATAAGCACATTGAAATTGAAAGTATTACTTACTTTAGTGAATTAAAAAAAGTGAATCCGACGTCAAAAAAAGGGTATCCGTCGGATATATAAGCAACTCCTTTCTTTAAGCTTACATAAGCAAATTAGTATAATAGCATTATAATAGCTGCAAGTTAAGGATAACGTCTCCTTGTAAATATCTAAGCGTCTACCGACACACATTCATACCTATACACTTACAGCAAGCGATTTATTTTTGTATACAACATTTGGAATAATCTGCCTCAATATGATCATAAATTACCTTTTTTGGCGCCACTTAATCAGTATGAATTTTTAAATGTATACTTATGCAGTGTAAATCGACAAACTTATTGATCAAACATGCATAATAAATGGGAAAAAACACAAACTTCATACCTGATAACCTTTCTTTAACAACTTGCGAAGCAAAGGCAGCTGCGGCCGCCGATCTTTGCAAGACGGGGTCCAGACTCAAAGCCCATGGATTAAAAACAGTTCCGGGGCTTGTGGGTCCTCCAACAGGTCGATGCGCTGGCACCCTTAACACACCCTGTCCATAGTAACCCGAAGGAATAAAAGCACCGACGCCTCTCGGTGGAGGTAATCCATGCGGATGATAAGATAAGTGTGTGGAAATTTCGGGACTTTCGGGTTCCGATTTGTCTTCGAGGTGTTTGCCTAATAAATTAGATATACTGAATGGTAGTGTTGTAGTTGTCGATGAATGCGAATTCGGCACCGTTTCCGGGCTTGAGCAATGACTCCTTGAACTTCTTGGCTCACTGTCACTATTTGATAAACGACTGTCTGTATCTAAAACGTTTATTTCATGATCGTCCTCCATCAGTTCGTGGTCTGACATTGCTAATTAAAGTCTTCAATTAGGTACGCTAATTACTGAACCATTAACACTACCCCATTAATTTTAAACATTTTATAATAATGAAACGATGTATACGAGTATGCACCGCAATAGCCGTAAGTGCTCAGACCTTCGCTCGGGAGTTGTTACCGAAACACTAGACAGTCAAGTTCTGGTTGCCATAGCATCGGCAACACAGATACAATACGAGTAATGATTGGTTGGGCTCTTTACGATGGCTCCTCCTTTTACATCCCCTATTGGATTAAACAGATTCGAACTAAATTGAATATCTTTCTGTTAAGTTTTTTTTAGATCTTGAATATCTTTCTGTTAAGTTTTTTTTAGATCGGGCAAGTAGTTCAATTTTCATTCATACAAATTTTCCCATACCTGCCACGATTCGCTTCAGAGGAAAATTTTAAAATGATGGCGCTTTAGAAAAGAATTTATATCATGTAGGTAGTGCTTGTGTTTAGATAGATACTCATATATTAACGACCCGTGTTCATTATTTTTATTATTGATTTAAGGCCCGCGTTTGATTAACTTCTCGGATAGGGATAGGAATGGGTAATTTTAACATATGCCACGCTACATTTTATTTAGTTCTAGTACAAAAAAATATATACCTTACAATGTAAATAATATATGTATTTTATCATTTATGGCGAATAAAAATTTTTCATTTAAATTTTTTTTTTAAATGTCGACTACTTTGGCCATAGGTACTAAAAGACACAGGATGGTACATATATAATGTGATACCTACCTACAACACGAAAAATCTAGATATGTATATAGGTAGTGTTTGATAATTATGGCAAACCGTTACTTTCCATATAGGTTTGCGTTAATTTAGGTCAGATTCAGTCGGGGGATAAGATGAGTCCAATTTGATCCGCAATACGAGAGATATCAGCGAACCCTAGGTTAATCGAGCGAGCGTTTAGCATGCGGATTCACCTGGTAAGTAAGTCCGGTCGGATTGGGCGAATCAAAGCTTTAAGATCCCATGTAACAAAACCAAAATTGCATAATTGAAGTGACCGGAAGGGCTTTTTAGGATCATATATACACTGTGTTCAGCGAGGAATGGAACAGCGGGGAACAAATGCAGATTTTAAAATTCTTAAAACTTTGTTATAAATGTATAATAGGTATAAAATATATAAATAAAATATATATATATAATAATATTGTTTTATAAATTTAACATGTTCATTCATAAAAATTTCTGCATGATCTGAACAACCATCAGATATCAAACTTTCTCAATCGTGTACGAGTTATGTCAAATAATATGAATTGTACTCAAGATTGAAATAGCTTTATTTGTTTAGTACCCATCGAAAATTTGATAATAACAACAGAGTGAATGGTTTATTAGATTTTAGTTTACAATTTTAAATAAATTTTCTTAATAACAATTTTCGATATTAGATCAAATAAAAGAATTTTTCTTTTAAAAGAAAATTCATATTACATATTTTTAACATAGATACCTCGTATACGTCTCAACATATTTCTCAAATAGAAATTAAACACAACAAGAATTTTCTAATTTGCAAAAATGAGGTGACCTAATAAACAACTGCGGGAAGTTTTCATCTTAAGAGACCTTTGATACATCAGTACCATCAGATCGAAGTGAAATTTCATCATGAAATGCCTTTTCCATAAAAAATGACTACCAGGTGGTTGCGAATAACCGCTAGACACCATCATGGCTTGATATGTAAACTACTTAATTCTAGTAAATCTGGTTCAACGGATGCCATATCATTCAAATGCTTCATATATCTAGTAAAGAAATTCGCCCACAAGTCATTCATCTTTTTAGGGCCTTGACAACGGCTTACGAGGAAATTGAGAAAATCTTGAGGGCAGGCAACACGATAAGATTTGATGACAACGCGAGTTGAAAGGATTTGAAGAACTTAATAAATAGAACTCGGTGAATAGAAAAATTAGGGATAATTCGGAGCAAATTTGCGAAAAGCTATACATTTTAGAGTAACATAATGAGATATAGGGAGAGCTTTGGGAGGATCTTGGGACGGATAGGTAGTAAAGCTAAACGGGAATATACAGGAATTAAAGCCAGTATAAATGCGAGGTACAGAAACCACTTTCCCTTGGTTGAAAGAGCTCATAGAGAACTGAATGCAACCTCTGCCACTCTAGACGATCGTGTTAGTGGTTCCTAGACCGTATAGGAGCACGAGTAAATAAACCCTTAAATCAGATCCAAAAAAGCGGCAGAGCACCTTGGTGTGATCCAACGGGGTCATTGGATTTGACCCATTTTCAATAGGCTTATTACTTGTGGCATATAGGTCAACTATGCAAAGTTTGAACCGAATCGGTCCAAGCGTTTGACAGTTATCATGACGAACACCATCGATTTCCCTATAAAACTTGCATCGCCTTGCTCTGCCGCTTAATAAACATCCTCTCCAAGGATGATGGCGTGGTCATTAGGGGTATTTCTTTGCAACGATATCGCGGTCTGCGTCTTCTTTTGCTGTTTTCTCTCAATCCTCTCAAGGGCAAAATCAGGACAGAGATGCTCAATGAGACCAACCTTGTTTTTGTTATTCGAGAGCATCTATTAATCATGTATTGTCCTGTAATTGGAATATTCTGTTCTGTTATTATTATTCTCTTGGGGGACTGACGACTATGACGATGGACTATGCGTCAAACACAATTTCAGCTGATGCCGTAGAAGACCGACTTTGTGGTTCAATGGTAGAGCGTTGGGCTATAAATCCGGAGGTCGGGTGTTCGAACCTGGGTTGAGGAGAATTTTTCATCTGTAGCAGAGATGGGAATTACCTCAGACCTGTTTCGAGCATTCTGCCAGCTACTCCGAATTAGGTCTCCCTGCAGTTTTCCTAATTCGTAAGGTAAATACCGGAGTAGTATATAGAACAACTTAAGACCTATAACGGTTTCATTTGGGCGCAAAAAGAAATGCCGGTATTGCTCCGGTCTAGCTCTGATGCAGGAGCGAGGCGGTTCAGATTTCAGGGATATATTCGCGTGGTTCTGATTGACTAGGGTAGCGCCACTACGTTTGAAAATGCAAGAAGATACCTACAGGAAACGCAGAACCTGAAAGATAAAAGGACACACAACAACACATACCTGTAAATTCAAAAAAAAAGAACTATTGGGGGTGAACTGGTCGTTTATTAAATTAGTTGTTGATATGCATAGAATTTAAAGATCTGTATATCTATAATATCAAGGGATCGCTGTATCTCGAACGGTTAATAAAAATTTTAGATTAAAGTTCCAAACGTACAAATAATGAAAATAAAATAAACTCTTGCAGTAGCAAGTGCCGCTAGATCCTCACGCTTGGGGTCTAGAGCGTTTAAAATGAAAATCAAAAATAATTAGTGCGGGGGTAAAACAAAGGCCTTTCTTTCACGGGCTACTAAAAACGTACCTCACCTCGGGCATTCTACCTTTTTAAGAACCAAAAAAAAACAACAGGCTATCTTGATAACTGCCTAACAATCATAAACGTACAAAAATAATAATTCGGTGCAGTAGGCACAACCAAAAAAAATAGTTCTAATCGTCCGACCAACCAGAAGGGTTGTCGGTTTTAAAGTAATACATAACCAATAACAGCACAACGATGTTTTTATTTTACTTATCGTTTTTTTTTTCTTTACGTGACCAGTGTTCAGTGATAAATTGTTGAAATTAAAACACGAATTACAACAAAACAAAGGAACTGAAAGGAAGTAAGGAGAGGAAGGGAACAAAATTGCAAGGGTGTCTCTACGTGGATGCAGGGTTCGATGGTTCGTTGCAAAGTAGTCGGGAAGGTTCAAGTAATACACAGCTGACCTTTCGTTGTAGAATACCGTTCCACAATTGGGGTTGGTGATGCCACGCAGAGAACGACAGGGACGCACTTGTAGGGGATGATCGGTGATGGCTCTGCGATGAATGGGGCGCAGGGCTCCTTCTTATACGGGTTGATGTCGATGGTAAAGCTATGCGCTTCCCTCACAATGATGGACGAGACGAAAAACGTACAAATTGGTAGGTAGTAAAAATCGGCTCTAAAGATCGTAAACGAGCCAAAGTATCAAGCCGATGACCAATGTGCTTCCAAAATCCGCTTGGCGAAACTCCAAAAATATTACCATGAGAACCAAAAACGTCTCCAAAATTGGGTAACAATTAGAAAATATTTACTTCAATGTGTGAAGATCCTTATAATTAATTAAGATGAAATTTTTACACAAATGAAGATTGGCACGCTGGACATACGACCATGCCAGAATCAAAAAGTGACCGGAAAAGAAGATAAAAGGTAAAGGAATTTTATCACAAGGACAAGGACAATACTGGTTTTTAAAATTTAAATACTGAATCTGTACTCTATTCTAACAGGCAACCAACCATACATACGGAAGAAACATAGGGAACGAAACAAACTGTTATAGACCTTCTGCGGAGGCACCTCTAAACAACATTATGCGGGTCACTCTGTAATTGGGCGCAAGCCTGTTGAGGGCCCAGAACAAGAGAGGAATAATAAATAAATAAATTAAGACCGTCGGAATCGCTCTGCCAATTTGATGATCTTTTGGGTGCCATCCCCAGGAATCTCATCAAAAGCTACACGTACATTTTTCGGTTCACCCCGTACAGCCTTTCTTCTCAGGCAGTGTGGCAGTTTATGTGGGGGACACTCCCCGTGCCACTGGTGATGGATACGAGTTTATCGATTGGAAAGGTGAATTGTTATTGTACCAGGAGTTCCCTACGGGGCTACGCACAACGAAGCACTGCGAAGATCGTCATAATTACTTATGCCCACTCTACTACCATTTCTGCACGCATTGTAGCACGTTGACTAATAACATTGGTACCTACTTACAAAGTATTCAACTTTGATTTCTGCCTTAATTTCTATGCATGTTTAAAAAAACTCACTTCATCCACAAAAAAAAAGTGATTTGGTACATTTCTGGAGAAAGTTACGCAAGGTGACCGGGCATTAGGCCGCCAGACATTAGGACGCAGTCACTGGGCCGCAAGACAATAGACCGCAAAGGAAGTCGGCCGCAGTCATTAGGACTCGGACATTAGGACGCGGATATTGGGACGCGGACATTGGGAC